GTGCTCTGCCCCGGGCTTCCTGGAGTCAGCAGCTGAATTGGGATGCCTGGGACAGAGCAGCTGGGGCTCTGCCGGGTTGGTCCCCGCAGCGCCGCACCTCGGGGCTGCGGGACCAACCCAGCAGCATCCCAGTTGCTTTGTCCCAGGTGCACCCAAGTCAGCTGCTGCTGAAACTGACCAGCAGCTGAATCTGGGACAGCTGGGGTGCTGCCGGGTTGGTCCCGCAGCCCCGAGGGGCAGCACTACGGGACCTACCCGGCAGCACTCCAGCTGCTCTGCCCCCGGCTTCCCCAATTCAGCCGCTGGTCAGTTTTCCAATGGTCCAGCTGCCCGGAGCACTTCTGGGTTCCTGATGGTGTCAGACCATCAGGAGTGCCGGACCGTCAGATGCCGGACCATCGGAGTTTTACTGTATATGGCCATTAGTCTTCCCTTCGTTGTGTAGTAAATATAGCTTCAATAGACTTATATAATAAAATCTACTAGTGGTGCCTGCCTACAGAAACATTCTTCCCTGCCTGTTGAAATAGGTTCTTCAACTGAGTCAGATGTCACTGTGTTGTGGAATTCTCACCTTGGTTTAATGAGCGCATGCCCCTCTCCTACCAGCCCAATTCTTGTCTGGCCCATTCAGGGAGACAGGATTAAGTGTGTGTGGTGTGCTTAAGTTACAGCTTGTTAAAACGTCCTATATCTGGATGTTTCCCCTCCTAGGAAAGGGGAATGGGACTGTTAAAAGAGCAGCTGTCCCATCATGTTCAGTGGTGGTGAGCATGTTGTCCTTGTGTGTAAATCCCTAACTCTCTGGCAGAATTTATATGTGATTCCTTGAGAGAAGGGTGGAAGAAGTTCACAGAGATGACATGCTCTTAGTCTACATCCACCTCTGCCTCCTGCCCTGTAGGCTGAGATCTTCAGGGTTTTTATTAACTCCAGTTTGGCTTTGGTTCCCTGCTCAATGTTCATACCTTTTGAATATCTTGTTTCAAATCATAATTACAAGTTTAGATGTTTCTTTTCCAGACAATATAGAAGGGGTTTTATTCTTTGTATATAATTCTTAAATGTGGCTAGCTAGAGCAGTGCTTTCTCAGTGTTTCCCTTTGAAAACCTGTTTAAACCCCATCATATCTATCAGTTTAAATAGTCTTCGATCTAAAAAATAAATCCTTAATACCATTGGCTGTTTTGCCTACATACTTTGAAATACAAGATACTCACTCTAAAATTTCTGAAGTTGTTATGCATTTTGTTTGTTTTTTTTCTTGACATTTTCTGAGTGCTTTCTATATCCAAGCTGTATAGGTTTATCAACATTTAATAGAAATAAAAGAGTATATGTTTTCTCATAGATTTGATTAGATTTATAATTAGGAATACCCTAAACATTAAAACTTTCCTACAATCTTCCTTGTATTTGGAAGCAACATTTTACTTAAAGATTTTGAGACTGTGGTAGTTAAATAGATGTATTGGGCTTGTAAGGATAGGTTTGGCAGCTTCTATCTGTATTCTGATCCATGACAAGTTAATTACACAATTTATACAGCAACTACACAGAAGATCCTTAAGAAACTGTAGTAGTTGTATTGTAACTTGTGTTACTGTGACTTCTTTATCTCCCGATAACTCTGTAATTAACTTGTCACCACTGTTTAACACTTAACATTAGTAGAAAATCAATTCATGGCATCACTAAGGAGATAGTAGCCTGAAGGAGACCCTTGTTCCCTTTGAAAAGGCTATCAGGGTTTACTTACAAGGCAAAATCAGGGTATTTGGCTGTTCATTTTGGGAAAACTGCGCAAGGTGGAAAGTGTTCCAAAGCAAACTCGGATTTAACAGCATTTTTTAAAGTGTAGGTTTAGGAGACAGCCAGGGATAAATTAACTGCAGTTGCAAAAAGGACAAACATAATAGTCTAGAAAGGTATATGCAGCTAAAGGAAGAATAAGTTTACGAAATAAATGGTAGTTTTTGTTAACATTGTCCCTTACTGAAGTACACAGTTGAAGTTCATGGTAGAGCTAAAACAGCTGTAATCCTTAAAAGTTAAACCAATCTGTGACAGCCACTACAACTAGTCATGCTCTAGCTAAGCAATACATAATTTCCTTTTTATGCTACCCCAGAGGCTACTGATGTAAAAGGTGTCACCCTTGCTCACATGTTGAATGTTGAAA